GGACGTATGTGGTATAATTGTTTGAGTGAACAATTACTAAAACGGGGATACATAAATAATCAAATATGCCCGTGTGTCTTTATAAAAAGGTTACAAGATGGAGTTGTGATAATTGCTGTCTATGTCGATGATCTTAATATTATTGGGACTACAAATGAAATTCAAGAAGTAGTTACATTACTAAAAGGCGAGTTTGAAATGAAAGACCTCGGACAAACCAAATATTGTCTCGGCTTGCAAATAGAACGAGTCCAAAATGGGATATTTGTCCATCAATCTAATTACACTAAAAGAATACTGAAACGATTCAATATGGACAAGGCGAATCCACTTAGTACCCCAATGGTCAATCGAACATTAAATGTTGAAAATGATCTGTTTCGACCTTGTGAAGAAGATGAAGAAATACTTGTTCCTGAAATACCATATATGAGTGTCATAGGAGCTCTTATGTATCTTCCTAATTGCACAAGACCAAATATATCTTTCGGTACCAATTTATTAGCAAGATATAACTCGGCACCTACGAGGAGACATTGGAATGGAATCAAGCATATATTTCGTTATCTCCAAGGGACAATCGATTTGGGACTGTTTTACTCTAATGATAAAAAACATGAAATAATCGGTTTTGCAGATGCAGGATATCTATCAGATCCCCATAAAGCAAGATCTCAAACCGGCTATGTTTTCACGATTGGTGGAACTGCATTTTCTTGGCGCTCCCATAAACAAACATTTGTTGCGATGTCTTCAAACCATTCTGAGATCATTGCACTTCATGAAGCAACTAGGGAAAGCATCTGGCTCAGAAACATGGCTCAACATATTCAACAAGCCAGTGGACTATCGAACAATAATGACCCGACGGTGATATTCGAAGACAATGCCTCATGTGTCGCCTAAACGAAAGAAGGATATATTAAGAGTGACAGAACTAAACATATCCCGCCAAAGTTCTTCTCATATGCGCAAGAGCTTGAAAGAAACAAACAAATCAAAGTTCAATACATTCGATCAAGCGATAATGCAGCAGATTTATTCACGAAGGCTCTTCCGACGACAATATTTTGAAAGCACGCACATAACATTGGAATGAGACATCTTCGGGATTTACACAGATGATAACTCAAGGGGGAGTATGTGCGGCTGTACTCTTTTTTCCTTATCTTGGTTTTTTCCCACAGGGTTTTTCCAGATAAGGTTTTTAACGAAGCAGCATAAACGCACATTTAATAGTGGTAATTCCAAGGGGGAGTGCTGTGTAAAAGTGGCGGAATTTACCACTAACCTTATCATTTACATTAATTTATTTAAATTGTGCATTGAAGTGTGTGCCAATGTGTCTATAAAAGGGGCCAAACACTTTGTAAAGTTTGTACGGAAAAAGTAGAAGAAAGAAAGGAAAGTTTGAGTTATATCCGGTTTTTACATTGTATTTTTTATTTTCATCGAATTTTATAACACTGTCTATATAATCAACATATACTCAACATTTACGGGTACTAATATATAATCGCATATCCATTGATGTTCGCTGCCTATTCCAATGGATCATCTCAATTTTCCGATAACCAAATGAAAATTGCGCGAAGCCCAATTCTTTGATCAACCGACTACTATAGACAATACTCCACAAACCCTAACCACCGCCGCCGCCGCTCGCATCGTACACGAGGATACAGACGACGATGAAGAAGCATACGGCGAGGAGCCCTGTGACTTGGAAGCATGGGAAACCCTACGCAATAGCTTCAAGGAGGTCCAAATTCCCATCAATGCTCGTCGTAACCGCCGCCTAGTCCAACTGGCTAACGGCAATCACATGTCCAAAATCCCCCACAATTTGGCCAACATTGTCGATTTGATTCGCGAGATTAATGCCAATATATCCAGAGTCGTCCGCCTTTACTCCGATCTCTCTGAGAAACTCTCCGACATAGTTCATGAACAACGTGCCTTGCTCGACAAAGCTGCTAAGGATGCCCGATCTTGAAGTATCGTCGATTATCATATAAATTTGATCTACTTCTTTGCTGCCTTGATGTTGAAATAAAATTTGGTGTTGTATGTGACTGTGAGTCGGTATTTGATGAACTTCGGGCATAGAGTCTGTGTGTTTGATGTTTCCGGTCTATGCTGACTTTGAGTGAGTGATTGTGGTTATGTGATTGTGCCTAACAAA